AGCTTGAAGTACCTCTGTTTGGTTAAAGGCTTATAAGGACAGCATAGTCTGGTCACCTTGATGAATGCTTAGAGTTTTTAACATGTAACCTTTTAGCTAGACTCTTCGATAGAGCTGTTAAAAGATAGTACAATTTGTTATAATATTAGCTAACGTTATGTAATGCCTACTCTTTATTAGGCAGGTACTATTATTTTTATTCTAGTTTTACAGATGATTCCCAAAGCCGGTATTCAAATCTTAACATTCTGTTTCTATAGTTCTTGCTTTTAACCAAAAGCTGAGCTGGTGGATTGTTCTTGACTTAGTCCAGTGTTACTTTTAACTGGATAATGTACGAGTAAGTTAGTATTTTATCTCTTGTATATGTGTCGGAGGGGTGGAGGGATGCATTTTGTTGACTGTTCTGTATTTACAAAGCAAAGCATCACTTACTCTGTAGATCATTAAGCCGAACTGGTTAAATTGCTTTTGAAGGAGAAATGTATTCTGCTGCAAACTGAAATTTTCTTACCTTTTCTAGAAGTCTAGATTAAACATGGAGGAGCCACAAGAAATGCCTTATGTCAAAACACCTGTAAAAGTAAAATCTTACAGTTCATGGACAATGTGTTCAAAACTACTTGGGGGTGGGTGGGTGATTATCATTGATTTACTACTCTGAATGTCATAATTTTGGGCAGTGTGGTGGAATTATGGACCAGAAGACTTAGATTCTAAGGCATTTTTTTTTTCAAGTCTCAGTATTCTCTTCTGTAATTTGTGATGTAATAGGTATTGTTTTGATGTAATTTCTTGAAAGTTTAGAAACCTTACACCTCTCTGCCATCTCGTCTCCTGTTCTTCTTTTCTCTTCTTCATGTTTTTCTGCTTAAAATAGATTTGTTGAGAATAAGATATTTAAGGCATTTTAAATATTGTGTTCTATTTATTTGTGTATCAATGGTACCTAGTATGAGATGGGTGTATCTGGTGACTATTTGTTAAATTCAGTTGAATACAAAATCAGTTAAGTAGATAAAAATTTTTGAAAAATAAGATAGAAATAGAAAAGCTTCAAAGATGCTTTGGGAGGAAACATCTTGAAAAGCTTGATTACTGAAGTATTCACTTCTAAATTTTGTCCGAAAGTAGTACATATGCACATAGGATGTGATAATTTTCATCCAGGATAGTAAGTGCTATAATCAGATATGAGGCAAAATAGTGATAGAAAGGATGAAGTTGATTAGAATTTTCAGAAAGTCTGCAAAGATTTCCCAGGGGTGATTCTGGAATATAGTTTTGAATGGAAGGTTGAGCTCACATTGTCAATGAAGAAAATATATTTTAAACAAACGTGACCCTGTCCTTTGTGAGGCATAACTGTGAGGCATAAAGTGGTTGGCACTTCTTATGAATTGAAAATAGTTCATTATAGGTAAATTATAGGATATAAGGATGCAGGCAGAAAGAAAGATAAGTTTGATGAAATAGCCTAGTGTCAGATAGTTGTGGGCCTTACATATCATGCAGAGATTAGAATTTTTCTTTAAGAGAACTAGGATGCATTTGAAGTATATTTAGCAGAGGATTTGAATTAGGGAAGGTGGACTGGAGTGTAGGACATAATCTGGGAGCCAGCTGAAGTAGTGTGGGCAAGTGATTCAGTCCTGAATCAAGGTTTCAGTAGGGATAATGGGGAATAAGAGACAGACCAAACAAGGCTTCTGTGACCTGAAAATATATCTCCTGTTGTCATTTGTAATACTGCTGTCTTCTTATTTCCTTTACTTGTTCAGAATTATCTTTCAGGTCATTAATTCATCAGTAAATTGAGTAACAGTTGTGTGTCAGGCACTGTGCTAGGCATTGAAGATAGAAAATTTAGAGTGCAGGGATCTTATTTGAGGAGATTATAATGTAGTGAATTTTTCTTCTGTCTATTGCACTTCTGGGGATGTTAGACTAGAAATTTTGACGAAACTTGCCTTGAAGAACACCTAAAATAACAACAAAGTTTATTTGAAGGCATTTGACTACCTTCAAATAAGTAAAGTTTTATAGGGCTTAGATCTGTAAGAAGGGTTTCCTTCCTCATCTGTAAGACGAGGAGGAGTCCAGCATTTGGGGACTGCTTTGTCTCTAGAGACACTTTTCTATTCTGGTAGAGGGATGCTGATTCTCTGAAAGTCAGGCTTAAGAATCGAGAAGCTGAAAAGGTTTTTTTCCAGGTTCAAGAGCAAGGAGGAGCTCCCTGGCAACCTCCACAGGCTTTAGGCTGAGACCCTAGTAGTTAAAACAACTTTATGTTTGTAAGTAGACTTTACCAAATAATATGAAAAAAATTCCAAAACTGACATAAGAAATACAAAATCTGATTCTATAACTATTACAGAAATTGAATATGTAGTTAAAAACCTTTCCATAAAGAACATTTTAAGCCAAGATGGCTCCACTGGTGAACTCTACCAGCATTGAAAGAAGAAATAATATCAGTTTGAGGTAAATCCTTATGTGAAATAGGAAAAAAGGATCAATTCTCAATGCATTTTAGAGATCCAGGATAACATTGATATCCAAATCTGTTAAAGATATTAGAAATAAAAATTAAAGTCAATTTCACCCATAGATTCAAAAAATTTAAACAAATATTAGCAAACCAAATTCAGCAAGATACATAAAATGATAATATTGGATTGTCAGAAAAATCATGACGCATGTTTGCAACAGATAGCACTAGTTCATTTTTGGAAGTACTAGAGTTATTTGCATCTATGTTATTGCTATATATTTTAACAGCTGACAGTTCTAGCTTCATTCTAAAAAAAAAAAAGAGCGATTTGGTTGAGTTTTGGAGCGCTTACAGCAAGTTGAAGATGGAAGACCAAACTGTATTTTTGCCATATTTTACTGTTTTACTTCCATAAAGAGAAGAACGCACATCAATCTTGTGAAAAGTTGTATAAAGTTTACGGTGACAATGCTCTACAAGAATGTCAGTGCCAAAAGTATAACTTTTGCACTGTGTTGTACAGCTGAAACTAATTCTAAAAAATGTGTATTTCACAATAAAAAATAATTATAAAATAAAAAAAGAATATCAGTGCCAACGATGGTTCACGAAATTCTGTGCTGGTGATTTTGATCTCAACGATGCTCCCCGGTCAGGGAGGCCCACCAAGGTTGATGATGACAAAATAAAGGCATTGATCAAGTCAAACCCATGTTACATGACACGAGAGATTGCAGAAACATTGAACATCCATCATTCAAGCGTTCACGATCACCTGAAGAAGCTGGGATACGTAAGCAAGCTCGATATTTAGGTTCCGCATGAACTCAAAGAAGTTCATTTGATGGCACGTATAAACATCTGCAATATGCTCATTAAACGTGAGGAAAACGATCCTTTTTTGAAGTGACTGATAACTGGTGTTGAGAAGTGGATTGTTTACAACAATGTGGTGTGCAAACGGTCTTGGTCCTGATGTGATGATTCACCTCAAACGACACTGAAAGCAGACATTCATCAGAGGAAGGTTATGCTCTCAGTGTGGAGGGATTTTAAAGGTGGTGTGTTTTTCGAGCTCCTACCAAGGAACCAAACAATCAATTCGAATGTGTACTGTTGGCAATTGGACAGTTTGAACGAATCTATCATCCAGAAACGTCCAGAGCTTGTTAATTGTAAAGGAATTGTGTTCCATCGCAACAACGCGAGACCACACACAAGTTTGATCACCTGTCAAAAATTATTGCCACACCCACCACACTCACCTGACCTTGCCTCTTCAGAGTTCCATTTGTTTCGCTCTCTTCAAAACTCCTTGCATGGTATAACGTTCATCTAGATGAAGCTGTAAATCAGCACCTTGTTCAGTTTTTCACAAATAAATACAGGTCCTTCTATGCATGAGGAATTATGAAACTCGCTGAAAGATGGCAAAAGGTTATCGGACAAAACGGGCAATGTGTCATTGATTGATCTTTGTGTTTTATATAAATAAATGACCTTTGAAAAACATAGACAAAATACGTCATGACTTTTCTGACAACCCAATAAATACATCAGAACAAAGTGGAGTTCTTTCCTGATGTGTGTTAACGTCTAACCACCAATCAATTTAATTCATCTTTTAACAAAACAAAGAAAAAACCTCACGGTGATCTCAATAGAAGTTTAAAAAGCATTTGATAAAATTATATATCTATTCATGTTAAGAAAATTTTTTTTAGCAAACTACATATAGAAGGGAACTTCCTGATAAAGAGCATTTACAAAAAACTTAACAAGGAATATCATAGTTAACTGAAACAGACTGAATGCTTTCTCCCTAAGATTGAGAACAAGGCAAAGGTGTTTCCTAAGAGTTTTTTTTTCCTTGAACATAGGCATGTGAGGACATCCAAATGGGCAATGATCATGGAAAAGATTTTTTTACTTATTATTCATCAGGGAAATGAAAAACCACAATGATATATCCCTAAGCATTCACCGGAATGACTAAAATGAAAAAGGCTGATAATACAAGTATTAAAGAGGTACCATGCATGGGAAAGTCCCATGCACTTGTGGTGGGTATATAAATTGGTACAACCACTTTAGAAAGTTGTTTGGCAGTATCTGTTGAGGTTATACATGTGTAATTTTCACTTTCAAAATGTATATAAATGCATACCAACAGTTTTGTGCAGAAATGTTCATAATGGCATTATTTTTAATGGCCCCAAATTGGGAATAACTGTAATGTCTATCAATAGTACAATGAGCGAATACATTGTATATACTCTGTAGCATTTGTTCTCAATGTTTTTTTCTTCCCTTTACCCCTACTGATAGCATCAGCATCACTGATGAACTTGTTAGAGATGGGATTACTGAGTCATTTATTGTCTCTTTGTAGCCTTTGTGTTCAAGTCAGTTTTGCCTGGTGTAAGTATTACTATCCCATCTTTCAATCTGAAGTGAGTTTCTTGTAGGCAGTATATGTAAGGGTCTTGTTTTCTTTTCCATTCAGCCCTCCTATGTCTTTTGATCGGAGGATTTAATCCATTTACATTGAAAGTAATTGTTGATAGACATGTAGCTATCGTCATTTTATTATTCATAATTTTGCTCCTTCCCCTACCCCCCATTTTAAAGAAGTTCCTCTAACATTCCTTGTGATACTGGTATGATGGTGACACTCCTTTAGCTATTCTTGCCTGAGAAGTTCTTTATCTGTCCTTTAATTTTAAATGGTAGTCTTGCTGGGTAGAGTACCTGTGGTTGTAGGTCTTTACTTTTCATCACGTTGAATATTTCCTGCCAATTCTTCCTGGCCTGCAAAGTTTCTGTTGAGAAATCAGCTGACAATCTTATGGGAGCTCCCTTATAAGTTACTAGTTACCTTTCTCTTGCTGCTCTTAGGAGTCTCTCTTTGTGTTTAACCTTTTCCATTTCAATTATAATGTTTCTTAGTGAAGGCCTCTTTGGGATCATCTTGTTTGGAACTCTTTGTGCTACCTGGATTTGTATGTCTGTTTCCTTTGCCAGGTGAGGAAAGTTTTTAGTCATTATTTCTTCAAATAGGTTCTCAATCCTTTGCTTTCTTCTTCTTCTGGTATCCCTATGATGTGAATGTTGTTATGCTTGATGTTGTCCCATAGGTTTATTAACCTATCCCCAATTTAGGGGGTTCTTTTTTCTTTTTGATGTCTGATTGGGTTTTTTCTGTTGTCTTCCAAATCACTGATTCGATCTTCTGCCTCATCTAGTTTGCTGGTGATTCCTTCTAGTGCATTCTTCAATTCAGTAATTGTGTACTTCACTTCTAACTTTTTTTTTTTTTAAATGGTGTCTGTGGCCTTTTCTATGCTTGCTATCTCTCTGTTGAAGTTCTCACTATAACCATTATTTTGAACTCTGGTAGGTTGCTTGCCTCCATTTCATTTACTTATTTTTCTGGAGTCTTCTGTTTTTTCATTTGGTACATGTTTCCTTGTTTCCTCATTTTGGCTGCCTCTCTGTGTTTATTTCTATGTATTGGGTAGATCTGCTATATCTCCCAGTCTTGGCTGGGTGACCTTACACAGTAGATGTCCCGGAACAGTGTGTCTGGTCACCTGCTCTCTGGATGCTTCACAAGTGCCTCTTATGTGCCTTCCTGTTATAGTTGAGCCTTGATTTGTGTTGGCTCGTCAGTGGGTGGGTTTTGCTCTCAGGCTGATTGGCTGTGGGGTTTGGCCATGTCCACAGCTTATGGGCTGCTGTGTGGGAGGCTTACCCCACTGAGTGGGATTTGCCCCAGTGGCCTCTGGTGCCTGTTGTAACCAGCTTTTGTGTGTGCCACTTGTGGGGCTGATTGGGCGGTGCTCTGTTGTGGTCTGAAGCCAACCTTCAAGTAATTTGGTTTTGGGGTCTCGGGAGGTGCAGGCCCAGGTCACCTACTGCCTGTGACCAATTGGGGTACTACTTGGTAGGAGCTGCAAAGTGATCTGCAGTTTTTCGCTCTCTGGAGGTACGTGTAAGAGGCCATAATGTGAACTGAGGATGTCTGCCACTAGTACCGGGCCTAGATTAGCTCTGCAAAAGCCAGGACACCCCGAGGCCTCCTGCCACCTTCCAGTTTCCTTAAGGTTCAGCCACTTATAAAGCCTCGTGTGGTACGCAAGTTCAATAAGATGGGGTCTCATGGAGTCACTAGAATGGGAAGAGTTGTGTTTGCTTGTTTAATGTAGATTCTAGTTGGGTGCCAGTGCTGAGCCTGGAGTTATCAGCAAAAGTCTCAGAGCTTATCGAGGCCAGTTGCCACCCGCCTGGTGTCCATGGACTGAAATAGTTTTCCTAGAAAGAGTGTAGTGTGGGCGGGGCTGGCTGCTCACGAAGAAAGTGCCGATGGCCTTTGGGAAGTTGGGTGGGGCAGGGTCTCAGGGAGTCAGCAGGGTGGAGCAGCGGAACTCACCAGACCAATTCAGGTTCAGATTTGGCCTGTCCTGGAGGGCTCAGCACAGGAAAGATGGCACCCTCCTGAGGGCTGCAGGGGAGCAGGACCCTCCACACAGGGAAAATGGCGATTGTCTTCCATCCCTTGCCCCAGAGCCACACACCTCATCTCCCCCTCAAATGCCTCTAATGCCCACTGAGTCACTGTCCCTCCACAGGAGGCCAGTCTGAGTGTCTGTAAGTGTGTCTGTGTGCATGTCATTTCAAAGAATGTCTCCCACAGCTCCGTCCCACCGGGCTGGCCCATTTTTTTCACAGCCAGATGTTGTGGGGGCCCTCTTCCTGGCACCAGTACTCTGGGCTGGGCAGCCTGGTGTGGGGCAGGAGCCCGTTGCTCTTCCTGGGGGAACCTCCACAACTAAGATATCCCTTTTGATTCTCAACCATCACACAGAAGTTTGGGGTCAGCCCATTTTGCATCTCCACCCCTCCTACCAGTCTCGACATGCTTCTTTATATCCTTAGTTATAAAACTTCTGTTCAGCCAGACTCCAGATGGTTCTCCAAGTTGATCTATAATTTAGTTGTAAATTTAATGTGAATAAATTGTTACTTTGTTATTTCTTAGGAGGAATATAGAACTGAAGGTATCAGCTGGCACAATATAGATTATATCGATAACACCTGTTGCATTAATCTTATTAGCAAGAAACCAACAGGACTGCTCCATCTTCTCGATGAAGAAAGCAAGTGAGTATGCTTCTTTTCAATTTTGTTATTGACCATTTGGGTTTTTCATGTCGTCTTAAGTCCTAAGCTTTCTTTTTACATTATCAAATAAAGAGTCAAAGTTTCCCTTGTATGCAGTTTTTCATGTTTCTAGGAACATTGGGTGGATTTCACCACTGAATTCATTAAAAAATTTTTTTTCCAGATTTCTTCCACAGAGTCACTTTGATGTTAAATTTGTTGGCATTAATTTATTTTGCTGTTGTGTGTTCCTCTCTTTTTGAATTGAATTTTATATGTGCGATGTGTTTGCTGTTTTCATGTTTAGCAGAAAAGCATATCACGATAGATTAGTGATGCTGCCACAGTTCTGCAGGTGGTAAGTGGCAACATATGCCAAATATTTACCGTCCCGTGTCAGCACTGTTCAGTATACCAAACTTATCTATAAGCTTCAGAAATAAAGCTTTATGTAGCATCCTCCAGAGTGTTCTCAGTGCTCTATAAAGTATTATTTATTGTTAAATTATCCTAAAAGATGGCAGAACTAGAATTGGAGAAACTGAAGTGATAGAGTGTGTGTAGGTTTTCTACGACTCTTTAGTAGAATATTTAGAATAAATGGAATTAGATCACCTGATACCTAGCTTAATATTGTACTCATTAATTTAGGAATAAAATAACGGGGATTTACTATTATAGGTAGGATATTCATACATCATGTTTGTGTGGGACAATCTAACGTTTATGACTGTTGTCCAGTTTAGTTATTAAAGTGCCTACTTTTACTCTCAGAATATCCTGGGTAAGTTTTGTCACCCTATTAATGTGCCATAAACACATAATTGCTATATATATTAATATGGCAGAATGCAAAATATATTGGAGACTGCTAACAGTTACATCTACCTACTCTATCACTAGCCAATTTCCATTAATCTAAATGAATAAAATGCAGTTGACACTAAAAATATTTTAATTTTATGGCCACAGTTGTGTAAAAGTTGCTTGTTTTGCTCTATATGCTCTGAGACACATATTATGTCTTACAAAATTGTAAGGTTAGTAGTTCTTAGCTCTGTTTGAGTACCTTCTTGTGTATTTTGTTTTGGAAAGCTTCATATGCAGTTTTGGTATTATGTGTTGAGAGACATTATGGTTGATAGGAAATGATAAGCAGCTTGTTTGAGGTATTTTTTGGTAACAAAGAGAACAAAAATATATAAGCAATTTGAGAAACAGATCATATAGGTACTAAAGGATGGACTTAAGATTCAAACCCTCCAGGTATTTCTGACTAATTGTCTTGTGCTTTAATGTATTGTCTTATATTGCTTTCTGTTAATATGTAGGCTATAGAGTTAGAATTTCAGGGTTATATCCCATCTATATTAACTACCTTTGGCAAATCTCTTATTATCTTTGATCTTCAGTTTTCTGGCATGCAAAAAGGAAATGATAATGACAAATAATGTCTGCAATATGAGGTACGATCAAACAATATGTTGAATGTTTAAATAAAAAAAATTATTACAGTACAAGACACATTGCCCTTAATCCTCCTCAAAATACTTCCCCTCTCTTCAAATGCACTTATTCCATCATTCTTGCCACTTTTTGAAGCAGTTTTGGAAGTCCTCTTTCATGAGTGTTTTTAGTTGCACTGTCATGGCTGCCTCAATGTCCTGAATCATTTTGATTTTTGGAAAGAGCCAGAAGTCTCACGGTGCCAGGTCTGGTGAATAAGGTGGATGAGGATACACCATGTTTTTACTTGACAGAAATTGCTGTATATCAGAAGCGATGTGTGACATGGAACATTGTCATGATGGAGGATGATTTACCACACACTTTAAAACACAACTTCTCCCAACTGTAGTTCATACCTGACTGACTGCACCGAACAAGTTGAAACTTGTCATTGACTGGTACTAAGGTTCAACGTGTTGCTTCCCATATTGAAGATCTCTGCCTTTTTGTTGGATGGCACTTGGCAGCAGCATTCACCATATTTATTGATCACAATGGAAAGGCTCCGTGTCACACATCACTTCAGGTATACGGCAATTTCTGTCAAAAACATTATGGATTATGTCGCAGAAATGACATGAGGAATGCTCCTTGAAATCTCTCCTGGAAGTTACAACAAACTGAATAGCTGTAATTCAACAAAAGATAACTTAAGCAACATACGAGCACTTCTGAGAGACCAGCACATTGAATCACCTGAAGGTGGGCAAATTGGGCGATTAGGGATGGAGGGAAGTGCAGAGACTAGGGCTACATGCTGCAGGATGTAGTCCAGAGCTCACTGTGGTCTTGGGAGAGGGAAGAATCCAGGCTGTAGGTGTGCACTCCCTGTCGGATCAGCATATAATACAGCTGAACCCAGCATTTGGAGCTGAGACCTCGGGTGAGAGCTGTGGTTTAAGCTCTCATTGCCCGGCAGAAATCATATACACAGAGCCTGGTTGACTCCCCCCACCACCAAGAGCTTACCTCACCCCCACCCTCCCAGTGCTGGAAGTGAGCTCCAGAAGAAATGGTAGCAGGATCAGATTGAAGAACAGAATCTACTGCTCTGAGAACTGGGGCGACAGTCCCCGCAGCCACAGCCCCACAGTGTGACTGACTAATTCTAGCGATAGGGAAAGAGCCGTAGGTATGAGACAGCTGGAGCTTGGTAGTCGCCATTGCTCGGAGCCACAAACTCACCAGCCACCACTCAACAACCCACCCCACACCCACCTTTCTGGTCAGTTTCCTGTGGGAGCAACCAGAGCCACAGAGACACACAGGCTCTGCATCGGACTGCACGGCAGCATTGGGATTTCAGAAGCCCAGAACTCTTATCGCCCTCCACATTTTCCCATGGAGGCGGTGTCCTGAGACCCAGGTGTCCTTCTCACAGCATACCTTCAGGAAAACCCCCACCATCGCATGAGCAGCTGAAACAGCTCAAGAGAGTAAAAACTGTCCTCCTGTCTGACCTCCTTTCTTTGAATATTTCTTTCCTTCATTTAAAAGTAGAAAATTTTTTATTACTCAGAGGATTAGGGGGTGGTAAAACCCTTATCTAGAGACAGTGAGGTGAGCACCTTTCCTGAAGAGAAGCATTCTGTCGTTGAGCCGTGAGGCATGAGTTTTAGAGGCTGGGTTGGCCTAGGTGTAGGAGCTTAGATTTCGTCTCTGTGCCCTGTTGATCCATACATTTTTCTGCGTAGGATAGGAACATGATGGAAGCACGATTGTAGGAAAATTCATTTTGAATCCTGATTTGGTGACTTGAAATAAGATTAGAATCCCTGAAACTATTACTGAGGCTGTTGCTGTACTCTCTGTTTGAAATTATAACAGTGTAATAATCTATTCTAGAATGAATTCAGAGTTCTGAAATGGAAAGGAAGAGCTAGATAGATGGTGGAGATGTTTTGAGGAAGCAGTAGTATTTGAATGTAAAAGTAGGCCTAGGTGAGTAGGAAAATGGCAGTGTTGGCAACATAAAAAGTTAGGTAACAATGACGTCATCCCTATAGGATGCCAGCTAGTGTTCGATGTTTTACTAGTGTTATTTAATTCTACTAGCACTGTGCTACCTCATTGTACTGGTTTTATGGATTTAGGAAACCGTTTCTTAAAGAAGGTTACCTAGCCCAAGATCATAGACAGAAATGGTAACTTAAACTATGACTGTGATTATCTGACACTAAAGGCTATTTTCCTTCTAAAGCAACAATCCTGGTGTCACCTTTATAGCTTAGCAATAGGTCACCCCCTGTAGCTTGGGCTCAGAATGTCCCCTGTCCCAGTTCTCTGTTTCAGAAAATTACCTGGAAATTTATGATTAGTACCCTTAGGCTTATTGATCACAATCTCTATGGTCTGGCATTCTTGCCAGGCTCCTCCCATCATTGTTCCTGGGTTGCTAACGCCACCAGAGAAGCACATCGCCAGAGGGAAGGCTCCATGCAGACTTCTGAAACCATCTTGTAGTCTCTGGGAGAGTGCCCAGATTTTTCCTTAAACACCCCAAGTCGCTCTGAGAACGTTAAGGCAGCTTTTGGAAGTGTTAACCCGCTGCCTTCTCAGACCACTGGTGCTCTGATAATAAACGCTTATTCTGTGACCCAACTCCTGTGTCAGTCTATTGGCTGAGCGGCACAGGCAGCATGAGCTCTGGACTCGGTTGCCCTCCAGTTTCAGTTTCTGGTGACTCTGGGGCAGGACAGCCTCTGGGTTCCTCTGGTAAGTCTTACGGCTTGTGGAGTGTCTCTGGGACTACCTGGGACTGTGCAGATTCCTTGGCATAAGACTGACCTCTGGAAAAGCAGCTGCCGAGTGATTTTGCTCACCAAGGTGGGCTTTGCGCCGGTGCCCGCCTGTCATGGAAGCCTTTCTGCTCAGTTAGGATAGAATAAGCATTTGCTGTGTTTTCCTGTCTCTTCAGTTCTGACCCTTTCCTTTAATTACTGGTTCCGAAAGTGGGGTGGCCCAGGTGTGTGCAGCTGGAGGATTTTGCACTCACTATCTGGGGCTCTTCCTTGAGGGCCATGGGTCGAACTGACCCATTGGTGCCAATAGATGAGGCTGCAATATCTGACAAAGCATAATAATCCCACCAGTAATACATCATTTCTGGTATACAGCAATTTCTGCCAAATAAAAATATTACGGTGTGTCCTCATCCACCTATTCACCGGATCTTCCCCAAAGTCAAAATGACCATGAAAGGTAAGTGTTTTGAATCGATTCAAGACATTGAGGCAGCCATGACAGCACAACTAAAGATATTCACGAAAGAGGACTTCCCGAACTGCTTCAGAAAGTGGCAAGAAAGATGGGATAAGTGTGTTTGAAGCGAGGGGGAGTATTTTGTGGGAGATTAATGGCAATGTGTCTTTTACTGTAATAAATGTTTTTTCAATTTAAATATTCACCGTAGTTTTTGTTCACACCTCATATATGAAGTAAGATGATGTCGTGTCCAAATCTGTCACCTAGCTACATCTGGTTTCTGTATCTGGTATTCGGATCCAAATCTGGTTTTTCTCGTGTTTGTTCGATCCAGGGACTACTTGGATCTGTCTGTGTTAAGTGTGGACCCTTTTATTCCAGCTCCATAATGGGATCTAAGATTTCAATCCGGCTGGGAGCCTGTTAGCAAAAAACTGGGTTATTGGCAAAACTATGGCTATGAGCCATTAATCAAAAAGATATTGATGTTCTATTGCATTTCTATTTGGCCAATGTATATATTAGATTCTGGAGAGCACTGGTTGCTCAATATTTTATTGAATTATTATACTATTTTGCCTCTGGAATTGTTCTATTAAAGGCCTGGTAAATAAGATGAAATTTCTTATGTATAAGCCTTTAAGATAGACGCTGAAAAGAAGGGAAGTAAACTGATGGTTTAGTTCCAGGGAAAGGGGGAATCCACCTGTGTTGTAATCTACTTATAATTGGACACTAACTGTATGTTCAGAAACTTGGTTAAAAGTAAAAGGCTTGTAAGGTTTTTCTGACTCTTAGTAACTTTTAAGATTTTGCAGATAATTTGAAGGGTAAACACAGCTACTGCTGCTTGAGGCTGAGGTAACTGAAGGAAAAAAAAGGCATAATAGTAAGAACTAAGTTTTGCTAATAATTATTTGAACTTCTGTATTTCGGGACTGCTAGAATTCATGTGCCCTTCTCGATGTCAGATATAGGCCAATGTGAGGAAGCTTGGCCTGATGGTCTCCCTATCCTGGCAGGCAGATTCTAGAGAAGGCCAGGGAATTTGTTTGAATATCTTTAACAACTGAAGACAGGGAAGGTGAGGAAAGAAAGGAACAGCGAGACCAGAGACGGGGCCAGACAAGCCAGACTTTTGGCTGCAGTTATAGATAGGCAAAGCCCAAAGCCACGTCAGAGTCACCCCAATAACCCCGGAAGAGGAGCACCAGGGAAAGGAGCCTGCTTTAGATGTGGAAACCCTGACCACTGGAATAAGGAGTGTCCTAATCCTCCAAAACCGCTGTGCCCCCTGTGCAAACTAAAGGGCATTGGAGGAGGGATTGTCCCTCTTTTGAAGGGAGCAGGGAGCAACTCCTTTCCTGCAAATGGCTATAGTTGACTGATGGGCCTGAGGTTCCCAACAGGGCTCCCAAGAAGAAAAAGGCCATTGTCATCACAGGGGAGGAACTGTGGGTGACCCTTGACGTGGCAGGTAAGCCTGTTAATTTCCTGATTGATATGAGAGCCATTTATGCTGCCTCGACCACTCACTCTGAACCTCTGAAACTTGCTTGGTTGTGGGGATAGAGCCCCCAGATTTGGACTCATTTTACTCAGCCTGTTTCTTACTGTTGGCCTGTACCTTAGAGGAAAAGCAAAACGAGCAAATCAGACTTTAAAAAAGACTCTGGAAAAGTTTTGTCAGACCTCTAAGCCTTAGCTCTAATTGCTGCCCATTGCTTTCAATTTTAATCTCAGTTCTGTTATTTCCTGTATTATTAACTTGGGAAAGGTTCAGCTGGCACTCAAGAAATAAGGGGCCAGCACCTCCCCCCAGGCCAGCTCCTCTGCCTGTTATAGCCCTGTAAAACCAGGGGACCAGGTGTTATTAGAAGCCTAAATGGAGAGGACCCTTAGCACTTCTTCCCAGCACTACAACTGCTGTCAGGCTGCTGAGTCAGTGGTTGGGCCCACTTCCCTCGAATCAAACCTGTTTACTGTAAAATTTTTCTGATATAATAGCTAGGGACACTAGCCCTTCTGACTTCCGGATATGCCATAAGCAGTCCCTTCCCTGCTATGATAGATTCCCATAGGCAGGGATTCCGCCCACTCTCCGCAGGAAGCAGCCAAGAATGGTCATTGTCCCCTATCCTTGCAACCATACTAATTTTAAAATAAAGACAGGGTGAGGGGGGAATTGAAGCAGGGCCCATTGGGACCCCCATGGTGGAGGCCTCACAACGTCCCAGGCTTCACCTTTTTAGCTTAACAAAAGATCATCCCCCAGAGGCTTGGGCTCGGAATGTCCCCTGTCCTAGTTCCCTGTTTCAGAAAATTACCTGGAAATTTATGATTAATACCCTTAGGCTTATTTATTGATCACAATCTCTATGGTCTAGTATTCTTTCCGGGCTACTCCCATCATTGTTCCTGGGTCGCTGATGCCACTGGAGAACCCCTTTGCCAGAGGGAAGGCTCCAAGCAGACCCCCTCAGTTGCCCTCTGGTTTCACTTCCTGATTCCAATACAAACTACATAATTAACCATTTTTGTTTGTAATTTGGAATCATTTTTACACATTAGTTCTTGTATTCAGCATCTTTACAACCTCATGTCACATTTCTCATTATTTCAGCTACTGTTAAATGATACTATTCTCTGACAGATACTTGCTCTGCCCTCTGTGAGTAATATCTCCTGCTGGAAGCTCCTCCCTAGCCTTTACCATCAAGCTCACGATTGCCTCCGTGTCACAGCTAAACTTACTGTTATGTGATTACTTCATAATAAATATTACTTGAATGATTCCTGGATGTGAAATGCTTGTCAATGAGTACAATCCTATTGATATATGTTTGAAATAATAGGTGTAATATAAGAATATGTAATAACTGGTATGGGTAAGAAAATTACTACTTAATTTATACATGAAGAAATAGGAAAACAAAAAAATGACTATGGATTTAAAGGATCTATCCAAACTGAGAGATTATTCTCTTTTTGGAAGTTCTTGGCTCCAAATAACACATGATTTGGTTATTATCATCCTGCAGGTTTTAGAGTCTTGTAGCATAGTGCAGCTTAAGCTAAATACCTAACGACCTGAGTTGAATTCTTAGTTCTGCTACTTCCCAAGTGTGAGTTTGGGCAAATCACGACTTTTGACTCCTCATCTATAAAATAGGAACAGCAATCTTGTTTTACTCACTTTTTAACTTGTTAGGAGAATTGGATTAGATAATATAAGTGAAAACTCTTGGTAAGTTGCTAAATGTGTTAGATGGCAATGTAATTCTAATGTATTTTTTATTTATTAACTGCTGCGCCTTTGTTTGGTATTTTTGTTTTTAATCCAGCTTTCCACAGGCTACAAATCAAACATTGTTAGACAAATTTAAGCATCAACATGAAGAGAATTCTTACATTGAATTTCCAGCTGTGATGGAGCCTGCTTTCATCATAAAGCATTATGCCGGGAAAGTAAAGTACGGGGTAAAGGTCAGTCAGTTTCTCATTGAATATGCGTTTACGGTAGAGGTGTGTTCTTTTTTATTCTATTTTATTTTAATTAATTAATTGGGGTGATACTGGTTAGTAAAATTATGTTGGTTTCAATTGTACTTTTCTCATTCCTGTCACAGTACCTACCCTCTTTGTAGTTTTATGGAGGCTCTTGATCGATAATAGCTAGAGTTATTTTTATAGGGATACTGCTAAAATTCAGTCTCCTTTGTAATATTGGGTTGTCGGAAAAGTCATGACGTATTTTTTTCTCTGTTTTTTTGTTGCAAAAATGCGTCATGACTTTTCCAACAACTCAATATATTACTGTCGGTGGTGTTTCTGTTGGTGTCCTCCTACAGTTGAACCTGACGTCGGTCCATTCTGATAGATTTTTTTATGTCTGAAAGAACAGATAGCATCAGTATGCCTGAAACCCACTAGCTCTGGTGTGTATGTATTGAGTTTTTCTCCTCTGCACCTGTGAGGCCTGCCAGAGGCTGCATGTCTCTATGCACCAATAGGTGTTTGTGAGCTTGCCCTCCTCATGAGTACATTAAAAGTTCTAACTCCTGTGGAAGGAAATCTTCATAATTGTGTCTGTCTCTTGGTTTTAGGTGGTGAGCTGTTACCTTCCCACCACTTGATGTTTAAGCGTGCTTTTTAAGACAATGTCTCAGGCAAGGCAATGACAATACAGAGACTAGTGGAGCAATATGTGTTCTCCTGGGTCTTGGGACAAGAGTCAGAATTAATATGACTCATTTATTCATTAATGATTCACTTTTTCAGGAAGTGTTAATTAAACACAGAGCCTGTGTCAGATCCAGTGCTTGGTGTTTGGAATGATTCAGTGATAAAACAGATATGTTCCTGGCTCTGTATATACATGTATATACATATGTGTATATATACACATGTACATATATCTCTGTGTGTATGTGTATAATACAGATAAATTGGGCCATGTGCTGTAAAGAAATGAATGGGTTCTATGGGAGAAACTAATAAAATACTGGATTTTGAACTTGTAGATCCATGAACACTTCTCTGAGACACTCAAATTTTGAAAGACGACCTGAAGTAAATGATGAGTATTCTAGATAGGAAAGAACTTAATGTGTTAGAATAGTTGAAAACAGGCCTGTGTTACTATTGGGTTGTTGGAAAAGTCATGGCGCATTTTTGCAACGAAAAACAGAAAAAATATGTCATGACTTTTCCAACAACCCAATAGATTATAGTGAGCAATGGAGACAGTGGCATGAAATGCATTCAGAGAATGGACACTAAAGAAGTTAATTCTTTAGGGCTTTTAGACCAAGTTAAAGGAGTTTGGTTTTTGTTGAAATTATTATGGGGAGCTATGAAAAGATTTTAAAGCTGAGGATGTGATTTGCATTTTTAAGAGATTGATTACTTTGAGGAGAAGAAACAGCAGAAGATGGGAGTGGAAGCTGGGAGATCAAAACTAGGTAATTTTTCAGAATTGTGGAGGTGAAATGTTAAAGTAAACTGAAGCACAGGGGTGGCAGTGGATTTGGAGATTGAGATGATTATGAGATGCGTTTTGGAGGTGTACTCAGTACACCTTATTGATGCGTTCTGGGCAAGTGACTTCTGGCTATAGCTGCTGGGTGAATTGGAGATGCTAGGTTTTTTAGATGGAAAAGATAGGAAGGAACAGATTTTAGAACAAACATTAAGAATAACACAGAGTAGAATGGTGGTTACCAGGGGCTAGAGGGTGGGGGAATTGAGGAGATGTTGGACAAAAGATTCAAACTTGCAGTTAGAAGGTAAGTTCTGGAGATTTAATACACAACATTGTGATTATAGTTAACGTTGTGATTATGTATAGTCTTCAAAGTCGTTAAGAGATGGCACTACTGCGGTAGTAATGATATTGCAACATGTAAATTTATCAAATCAACATGTTATACACCTTATACAATGTTATATGCCCGTTATACCTTAATTAAAAGAACATTTTAAAAATGCACTTTAAAACAAAAATAAAAACACCTTGAGCTATAAAATCTTATAGTAAGGTGCATAAAGTGTATAAATCTCCAGTGTATGGATTTCCTTCATGCCCCTTCCCAGCTCATTCTCCCCCACCCAGAGGTAACCACTATCCTAATTTTTCATCCTTAATTTTATTTGTTACTAAATTTCAGATAAATGGAAGCATACAGTATATACACTTGTGTCTGTGGTTATTCATTCACTGTCACATAGGTTGAAAGTGAAAGGATGGGAAAAAGATATACCATGCGAACCTTAACTAAAAGAAAGGTGGTTTAATTACATTATTATTATACAAAGTAGACTTTGAGGCAAGAAGTATTATTGGAGATAAAGAGACATATTTTGTAACAATAAAAGGGGCCAGTTCAACAGGAAGACATAATCATCAAAAGTTGTATGTACCTAATGACTTCATTTCAATATATATATAAACCAAAAGGAGAGTAAAAGTAGAACTAGAGAGATCCATCATCATAGTTGTAGTCCGTCCATCCCCCCCGCCCCCTGAACTGGCAACCTTGTTGCACACTGAGCCATCTGGCTGCCTGTTGGCAGCTCGCACCTGCTCATCTCCAGGTGCCATGTTCAATTGTAGTTGTGTAGGCCCCATATGGGTGTCGAACCAGCAACCTTGCTGCTAAAGGCATGTGCTCTCATCAGCTCAGCTTGGGCACAGCTCACTTGGCCATGTGGGAATTGAACCGGCAACCCCGTTGCTCAGAACTCGCGCTCTTAACCAACTGAGCCACTCGGCCAGCCCCATAGTTGTAGTTTTTAACACAGTATCTAAAAAAATAAGTAGACACAGAATCAATAAAAACAAAAATTGAAGAGCAAGTTATGAAATTAAGCAAAATTCTTCTGTATAACCCATGAGTCAAAAAATAAATCACAATAAAATGATAATATTTTATTTTGTTCCCCTGCCACACACACACACACACACACACACACACACACACACACACCCCTCCAAGCTGTCATTCTCAATCTAGTTGTGGAGGATGCCATTGGCCCATGTTGGTATTATGATCATTGTGCTGTACCCCAGCTGAGACAGTTGGCAGCCATTGGCCAGCCGCTCACAGTAGTTCTTGCTGGCTGCCGGCTGCTTACGCTTGCTACTGGCCATGGCTCGGCTCATGCTGGCTGCTGGCCACACACAGCAGCCCAGCTCCAGGTTGAGCCATTGTTCACAATCTTAGCTGTAGAGGGTGCAGCGTCATTGACCCTCATGTGGGATCTGAACCGGGGCCCTTCTGCTCAGAGCTTGCGCTCTTACCAAATGAGCTATCCGGCTGCCCAAAATGATAATATTTTAAATTGAATATTAATGAAAATACATCATTAAAATTTATAGGATGCATTTAACAATGATTTATAACTTTAAGTGCATGTATTAGAGAGAATGATTGAATAGTAATTATCTAAGCTTCCATGTCAAGAAATTAAGAAAAGAACAGCAAATTAAGTCCCCCAAAATTATAAGGAGGAAATAATGAAGGCAAGAACAGAGATCAATGCAACAGAGAGTACAGGCATGCTCTAGAGAAATTGTCAAAGCCAAAAGTCAGTTCCTTGAGAAGATAACAGAAAATAATATAAGTAAAAGGTAATAGAAAATAACTAATAATAGAAAGAAAGAGACTCACAAGTTACACATATCAGAAATGAAAAAAGAGATTTAACAACATACTCAAGAGATATTAAAAGGATATGAACATATTTTGTCAACGAATTTGACCATATAGGTAAATTGTAAAATTCCATAAAAAACGCTCATTATCAAAACTGACACCAGAAAATATAGGAAAACCTGAAAATCCCATGTCTGTGAAATAATTTCAATCAGTAGTTTAAAACTTTCCCACAAAGGAAATTCTAGGCCCATATCATTTCACTGGTGAATGCATTCTCTTTCAATTTTGAGCTACTTTTAAGATCTGTAAATGGATCTTAGACTTAAAAAGAAAGATCTGAGCTGGGATACAGATTTGGGCCTCATCATAGAGGTAGCCATTATTATGGTTGAGATCACCTGATATAAGATGATCGAGTGAAAAATACAAGAGTACACATGATCAAACCCTGAAGGGCAGCACAATAGGTCAGTAGTAAAATCACAATGTGTTGGTACAGAAACTAAGAGTTTCAAGAAGAATGATGCAGTAAGTTTATGAAATGTACTTAGAAATACGAAGACAGAGACAAGACCATTACATTTGGAAAAGGAAAGTCTCTGTCAACATTTGACAGTCATCACGGAAAAGAATCTGGAATTTTAGGTTGTGCAGAGTAGTTATTAATAGGATGCAGTGGTCTTTTAGGTAGGGCAGGCTGGTGTTTCAGTCCTTATACTGGTACTTACCATGTTTCACTTTTGTATTTTCTGTACCTCTCAGTTTACTTGTCAATGAAGGATGGCTTATGATCGATTCTACTTTATTGAGTAATTGATATAATTAAATTCGTTATGTGCAGTGCTTAACTTAGTGCCTGACATCTTGTCTGCTCTCAGTAGGTATTAGCTAGGGCTTTGATGGTGGTGGTGGTGGAGGCGATTTGGATTTGAAAATTCTTACTCAGTGTTACTATTATAATATGTATTTTTGCTTAACACGTTAAGCGCCAAGCCTGTTTTGTCTTCCTTTCCGTTTAGCCTGCGATATCCAATTTCACCGATATGCTTTCTCTCAGTCAGTTGTCTGTGGTTCGTGTTCCAGTGCAGTTTAACAATTTTTCTTTACCCATAACAGTGACAATGTCAGAAGAAACGTGTGAAAGTGATTCAAGTGAAATTAGTTTTCCTAATAGAAGAATATAATTTTTTAAATTGTATATCGTCAGTCACCAGTGACTGACGCAGTCCGAACGGAAAGTAAAGTGTCAGTCACTGGTGACTGACATGGCGCTTAACGTGTTAAAGGGTACTTAGGGACCAAGGCTTTTGGTTTGTTTCCCCCTTTTCCCTGTTCTCAGGCGAAGAAAGAAGAGTTAGGAAAGGAAAGCCCTGAAGGTAGCAGGATGAGTCCAGCTGCCTTCTGGATGTGAGGGTAGATGGCATCGTACTGGGCATGCTCTTCAGAATTCTGGGTTAGAGCTGTTTTGTAAAGCTGCACCAACTTGGAGTGATTTCCTTACCAAGTGCCCGTCCTTCATCTGGGTGTGGTTATAGCCAAATGCCTTGGCTGTACATGTCAGTCTGGGACCTTCTTCCAGAGGTCTAAGCTTCTTGCCCTCCCTATCTTTCTGTGGGGGTATTTAAACCCATTTTCTTGTAAAACCATGCTTTAGCAAGGTTATTTACTGCCTATTTACAGTCCTTAGGTAATCTTAATCAGCTTTAAGAAATCGACATGCTGATGATACCCAAATGTATTTTCTGAAACCTCTGTAGGACTCTACACACATATATCCATCGTCTGCTTGATATCTGTATGCAGACATAGTATAATGGTTATGAGTGGTTGTGTTTGAACCTCTGTTCTTTCACTTACTGTGTGATAGGGGCCAAGATAATTAACCCCTCTAATCTCAGTTTTCTTATCTATAAAATAGGAATAACAATATCTCCCTCAAGGAGTTGTTAGGAGAATGAAATGAGCTTAAATAGACAGCACATATAAAATGCTAGAAGAGTGCCAACACACATAGTAATCTCTTAATAAATGTTACTTGCTATTACCATATCCTCACCATCTCAGTTTAACTTGGCCAGACCCGATCTCTCGATCCTCATTTCCTATCTCCAAACCTCTTTTCTGTAGTTTTCTCCATATCAGTATATGGCACCACCATTCACCTAGTTACTAATACAGGTGTTAACCTAATTCCCTCCTCCTCTCACCCTGCCCTACTCCATCCACCATCAAGTCTTGTCCTGACCCCCAAAACATATACCAAAGATGATCAGTATTTTCGTTTTCCATTATTACTGCCAGCGTAGTCCAAGCCATTGTCAGCTTTTATCTGGAATATTGCAATATCTGGTCTCCCTTTTTCTATTCTTTGTATAATTCATTCGCTCCACAGCAACCAGTGGTGTTTAGAAAACACTAGTTAGCTCATGTCATTACCCTTCCAATGACTTTCCTTTACACTTGAATACAATCCAGATCAAACTCAGGCTTATATAGTCTGTCAGTCTATTTCTTTGTTGAATCTCCCACCAGAATGCCGCAGCCTCTGGTCTTACTGCTTTTCTTCTAACTTGTCCAATTCGTCACCACCTAGAGGTAGTAGGCATTCCTTTTGCTTGGAATGCTGTTCCTGACCGTCTAATGTCTGGCTCCTTTTTATTATTCAGCTCTTGTCGTTTTTTGTGATACCCTTTCAGGGAGGCTCTCCCTGACCAGTGTTTAACAAGTTGCAATAAAACTGTGGAATATTCTTTCTAATTTAAATGTAGTATAGAATCTGTTAGTTTTAGGGTTAGATGGGACTTTATAGAAGATATCTGGTCCAGTGAGCTACCTAGAACAGAAATCCCTTCTATAGTCCTTAGTCAACCACTGTTCAGACATTGTTACCCATTATCTTCTTGGTTTAATAAGTTTTTTCAAAACTAACCCTGGTACTTTTTTTATGTAGGATTTCCGGGAAAAAAATACAGATCATATGCGCCCTGACATTGTAGCGCTTCTGAGAAGTAGCAAGAATGCATTTCTCTCTGGGATGATTGGAATTGATCCTGTTGCTGTTTTCCGATGGGCAGTTCTCCGAGCTTTTTTCAGAGCCACAGTTGCTTTTAGGGACGCTGGGAAAAGGCACATTCAGAGAAAAACTGGTAAGCAGTAGTATTAGTATTCTACCATGCTTCATCTTTTAATTTTTTACCTCTTTAAGGAGTAGAGACATAATAATTTCATTCTGTTGTGTTTTCTTACCATACCTTAACATCATGGTTCAGATGTAATTTGTTCTAGTGAACTTTATATGATTGAATTAAAAAGGTATATGGTGTATGTGTGTATATATGTATTGGTACATTTTTTATTAATAAATACCGTTAGGAATAGTGAGTGTAAAGCACCTGGAATTTAGTAGGCACTCAGTAAGACGTTGGTATGATTTTTAAACAAAAAGCGAAATGTAATTATCATTTAATTATATAGAATTTACTATTGATAACTTACTCTGTTTTCTTCTTATGCCATAGTTTTTTATTAGAAATGAGACATAATTTAATGTGGAAGCATAAATCAGGAGACAGAAAAGTTAGGATAGAAGTAGTGTAGTATAGTGGAGATAACCTGGTTTCAGTAATCAGTCAAGTGTCATCTCTACTCTTGACTGATTTGCAACTATTAGAAGTTTTTTTTGGAGTGTTAATACTGCCTTCAAAATTATGAGGGCAAAGTCAGATAATACATGTAAAGTATCAGTTGATAAAGTGTTAATTTTCTTTTCCCCTTAACTCAGCTCATTGAATTTTACTTTGAAATTTAGAACTAACTAAAGCAGGTTACTTTTTCAGTGTGCTTCCCCCTTAAATCATAAACTATCCTGTTTCCCATTCTGAGGGAGGGCGTCTTCAGAAGCACTTGTACCTACTGGAATCACACTGTTGCTTGCTGTAGCTCTAGCCTTAGCTAGACCACTGCATAGTGAGGATTTTCTAATATACAAGTATATGTAGTTGTTTAAAATAAATTTTCTGGGGCCGGCCGAGTGGCGCGATGGTTAAGAACTCGCTTGGGATGCCAGAGGGCCCCGGTTCGGATCCCACATACGAGGGCCAATTACACTGCCCTCCGTAGCTAAGGTGCTGAACGGCAGCTCAACCTGGAGCTGGGCTGCCGTGGGTCGCCGGCGATGGTGTGGGCTGCAGCCCCTGTGGCAGTGGGTTGCCATGGGCTACCGTGTGTAGCCAGCAGCCAGCGTGAGCGGCCAGCAGCCGCAGTGAGCAGCCGTCCAGAAGCCGGCGACTGATCTGCCTCACCCTGGAAGAACGCAATGATGGTGCCAACTTGGGCCAGTGAAGCAACGTCCTCCACAACTGGACTGAAGAACAAAAGGACAGCAACTTGTCTGTTCCCATCCCCCCAATTCCCCAATAAAAATCTTTTAAAAAAATAATAAAATAAAATAAATAATTAAAGAAAGAAAGAAAGAAAGAAAATTTCTGCCCAGAGAAGCTCCAGTAGAAACGTGCTAGGACATACCTGTGCTTTTAGGGCTCCCAGCCTTATATGGCTTTTTGGCATGTGCACTAGCAGTAAAAGTTTAAATTCAGCTTTGATATATTTCAAATGAATAAATATATTTGGGAGGTTATATTTTTTAAATGAGAGGCAAAAACTAATTGAATTTAATTTATGTTTTTCAGATTTTAATGTGTGCAAACTGGCCTTTGTACATAGGGAGAATTCTAGTTTTATTTTAAAAAAGTAAAAGTAATATCTTAAACCTGCTTTGCTTTTCACAAAGTTATTCCTAAGAGGCTACCTTTGCAAAAAGCTATAAGGAAAATATTTTTTTTTCTTTTAATTTAAGATAATATTCTTATTACATTGTACTTACCAATTTTGAAAATTTTGAAAGTGATAAGTATCCTGCTAAGATATAACTAAGAGAAGAAACTTATTCTTATATTTGCTATTAAGTATATCCTCTTCTGTAAAGATTATTCATATTGTGTGCTCCTTTGGCATTTAAAATACTTGTGGAAGCTGGATGTATGTGTATAATAATCAGTTTATACAAAGGCACACAATGTTATTAATGATCAACAAACTTAAGTCTGTATTATCTCTACTTTGATAATTTCTGGATTTTTCTTGCTTTCTAATCTAGTTTTTCTTTCTGGCCCACATAGAGCTTCCATATAATAAACCCTTTTTGAAAAATCACTTATTCTGGCATATAACATGCATACAGAAAAGTGCACAAAAGAAAAATGTATAGCTTAGTGAATTATCAGGAAGTAAAAACACTCCTGTAACTACCACCTAGGTTAAGAAAAAGAATATTACCAGCACCCTAGAAGTCCCCCTTGGATAAACTTTAAATTTTACTTTTTATCAAGGAAAAGAAAAACTATATAGTTCAATTGCATTTTGAGGCAATAACTGAGCAGATATGTTACAGAGAATAATTGTTTTTATTATAGCATATTAGTGTCAGTGCCAGTATTTAGCAGTTTTGCTCTTTCCACACCACTCAGCACCTGCTATTTTCTAGTGGATTTGGTATAACAGGATACCATAAAGTTAGAAATTGTAGCATTGCAAAAAAAAAACTAACAGAATAACTGAAAATGGATTAGGTAGTAGATTCAGAACATTTATGATGATTGTAAGTAGTCTGCAAACATATAGTGAAACAGGAATTGGAGATTATTTAAGCAGAAATAGAGTATATAGAAGGCCGAAGGTAACTAAGTTCAGATCTTGAATGAGAATAAGAGGTCAAAGATAATACTTCTAATGAAGAAAGAAGATGTAGACTGCAGAAGTACAATATCACTTCTTTTGTGAGTATCTTTGTAAAAAATTTCAATGGACTCTAGCTAATTGTCAACATATATCCTTATGGTGATCCAAAAAATCATGGATTTTCTTAAGGAATTCTCTGACATTCTTTTTTCTTCATCAAACCAACTGAGCACAAATGAGGATATCAAATTAAAATCTATTTTTAACTTATTTTTTTATAGACTTCCAAATTAAAGGACACAATGCCATTTAAGGCTCTTAAATCAAATTAATTCAATTTAGCTATTCTTCTAAAGAAAAAATATGTTACAATAGTGGAATGTATTGGGTTGTTGGAAAAGTCATGACGCATTTTTGCAATGAACAACAGAAAAATACGTCGTGACTTTTCCGACAACCCAATTTATTGTGTTGATCAAGAAACCAAATTGTTCCTAGTAGCATCATACAAGTAGGCAGTCTGAGTGAAGCTACATGTTGGCCCTGCTGGGAGGTAGAATGAGAAATGATAATGTTCATCTGGTCAGCATGGAGGCATTGGAGAACAGATATTCCAGTGGTATCATCCGCTTTGCCTCTTCCTGAATAAGAAAGAGCCTGGATTAGAGTATACAGGGGACATGATAACTTGACTCTGAATTATAGAGTATGTAGAGTGAGTGCAGTCATGCTTTATTTGGTTTTTTTGATGTTAGCATAAACATATAGCCAAAGAGGAATTTTAATCATTCTATTGTAAAAGACTAGACAGAGATGGGGGAATTCAGCTGTGGCATTGGGATAAGAGGCAAGAACAAGAGAGATCAAAGAGGCATTCAGTTTCTTCATCTACAAGGAGAGAAGATGAAGCCATTCACACAGTGTCTGCAAGTAGATAGCTTTAATGGTTCCCACTTAACCTGTCCCTCTTCCCTACCTGACTCAATGGACTGTGTGACACTAAGGGGCTTCTGCTCGTTTCTGCAAGTGGGAGAAGGGTTCCAGTGACCATCTGTTTGCACAAACGACTAGGTACTAACACTGATTTGGATATCACCAGGGGCCTAGGATCTCTATTCAGTACTTTGTACACAATTCTACCCAATACTTAAGACAGTTATGTGTATGTTAACAAATAAAGCCCTGTCCATGATTTATTAATCACTTCTATATCAGTCACTACAGTGATATATATATTCTTAACTCCAATAAGAATAAGGGTTTTATTTTGAATGTCAGTGAAGTGGTGGTGTAAGGACCTCTGAAAATTCTCTCTTCCTATAAAGCAACAAGCACACTTGCAAAAAGTGTCAGGATAACTTTGTCAGAACTCAGAAAATTCATCAAACTTTTGCAGTAATTTGGGAAGTGTGTACAAGAAAGAAAAGGCTGAATATTCATAATACAGTGTACTTTGTAGTGTTTTAATTTGCACTATTTGCGTTCCTCCCTCCCTAGCTCCACTATAGCGTTGAAAACCACAGCCTAAAGCACAGTGAAGAACAGCAGTGTGGTAACCACTAGGGGGAGTAGAAGGGTATTGGAGCTCCTTCAAAGCCCCATTCCCAGAGGATTTTCACCGTTCAGCCTATCGGGTGGTTCCCTAGAAAACACCGCTTGCATGGCTATCTTTAACCTGACGCTGTGCTTGCCCAGTGTGAATAGCCTTTTGCCTAGGGATGTTGTCTCAAAACAAACAGAAGCAATTGTTGAACATTGCAACTGTCAGATGCAATAGACAATAGTTGGGGCAAAAGCTAAACAAAATGTTTAAAAGGCAAAGCTGGGAATGACATCTTCATAATGGCTTTGAAAAGTTCCCACATATTTATGGGAATCTAGATAGCTATGCACATGCATAGGGCCACGTACATGTCTAGGGATATGCACATACTCAGAAAAGACCTGAGAAAATCCTGACCGCCCACCTCTGGATAACCTTCAGATATTGTGTAAGTAGGAGGTGAAGGACATGGCGGAGTTGTAAACTGCCTAGCTGAGTGTTGAAGGTGTGTTGGTTTCAGGCATGTACAGATATCTGTCTGCAATTATTAGCTGACCACTAAGCTAACTGAGCAGAGATTTCCATGGTCACGTGACAAAAAATACAAACTTTACGGAATTAGTTCAGGAAGTCCTAAACAAATAGCAACAGCTACAAGAAACAGCAACAATAGCCTATCCTGGGGCAAGGGGAGAACCTGATTTCCAGAGTCACCATGTTATATTATTTAAAATGTCTGGTGTTGTACACAAAATTATGACACATGCAAAGAAACAAGAAAATATGGCCCATACACGGGAATGAAGAAATCAATAGAAACTGTTACTGAGGAAAGCCAGACACTGAACTTACTAGACAAAGTCATTA